GATAGTAATCTCACGCAACCCCCCCCCCCCCCCCCCCCCCCCTTTTGCATTTTTCCGGGGTTCACACTTGGAATACCAAATGTATTTGGCCCTCAATCCCAATTTCTCCAAAGGCCCCCTTTTTATTTTTCTTTTTTAAAGGTAGGGTTTTTTGTTTGGGGGAAAGTGGAGGGGCAGGGGCGGCCCCTTGGTTGGGGGGGCAAAGATCCCCACGTAGGGGGCGGGTTTATTGAAGGAGCCGGACGCTTAGGAGGAAAAGGGGGGGGCCCCGGCCACGGACGGATGGAGAGACAGGGGTTTAAAGGGGGGGGGGGGGGGGCACGCTGTAAACGCGAAAGATTAACATGATGATAAGCTGGCTCTCGGTGTTGTTTGTATGCTTCAGTCTCTTTCTCTGGTGGTGTGTGTCGTCTTGTCGCGTATTAGCATACGTCTCGCTTTGTGTGTTTTGTGATGGTGGTTTTTCTCTTGTCCTGTATGAGTTTAGGCACGTCGGTAATCTGATTCCCATTGCATCATTCCCAACGCGGGCTCGGCCAGGCTGAGAAGAGGGGGGAGAGCCCGCTTCTGGGGCTGGTGCATGCAAACGTGCTGCCGATCGTATTAACCTTCGCGCATTGGTGCTTGTCGGCACTTGCACTCGGCTACGATCGGACATTATTGGTTGTGTTGTGGCCTCTCCCCGTGGAAAAAACGTTGCGCACTTGCTGAAGAGACAACATAACCCAGTGAGCAGCATTGCTGGTAATTGTGGATCGCTTCCTGCTGCTGCTGCTGCTGCTGATTGTCCTCGCGCTGACCTGCATCGTTTTTTTCTCTCGCCCGGGTTTGTTGTTCTGGTCAGCGGTCGTGCGGTCGATGTGGTTTGATCGGCTGTTGTTGTGCTTCGTTTCTCCCCTTCCTCCGGAGTTGTTCGACGGAGGGAGAAACAACAGAGGGGCCAAAGGGTTGTACGGCCGTCTTTCGCGTCTTGTGTGCTGCACGTATCACGTACCATCATTCTCCGCAACGACGCTTTCGTGTGTCTCGAGTTGAATCAACACTTGACGATGTCGGACACAACTGATGAATGACGGCGTGTGGTACTGTAGCCGTGAGGGTAGCGTGTGTGTGCGACTTTTCCCCCTTGCAGGTCGGCCCGTGGTTGGGTAGAACAGTGCTGAGCAGACGGTGGGAGAGTGCGCCGCGGGTGCTGTAGTGCGTGTGCGTTTTCAGGCGCGGTGTCCGGGGTTGAGACGGCGGTGTGGTAGCGCCTTTTTTTTTTTTTTGCGTCCGTTTGTTTATTTTGATCACGTCGTCGTGGGAGGGAGGGAGGGTGGTCCGGTTTTGTTGTTGTGCACCCCCGGGTTCTGATGACACCCTGAACACGTCGGCACGAAGAATGAGAGAGAGAGAGGCGCTGCACACATGTTGATGGCTGGTTCGTTGTTGTCCGGGTGGTTCGCGTTTCAGCTAGGAACTAAATCTTTCTGCGTTTTACTGCTGTAGTTCCCGTTCCGTTTTTGAGGAAAAGAAAATGTGCTTCTTGTCTGTCTTGTGTGCTTCGGGTTTGTTTCTCCTCTCTGTGGTGTGTATTCTTGTGGAGGTGGACAGACGTGTGCCCGCTGTTTTTTTTTTTTGCGTTTTTGGCTCGCGGCATTTGTTAGGATGGAAAAATCAACGAGGGTAAAGAGACCGAAGAATGAACGCACGGGCTGGCGTCGTTGAACCCCGGTGCTGCTGCTGTGGCGGCAAGCAATTATGGATGATGATGATGATGATGATGATGATGATGATGATGATGTTGTTGTTCTGTTTGAAGGGGTGCGTTGTGTTGGCGTCGGTGCGGGTCTGCCTTGAATAGGGCTATTAGTCTTGCTTGCTTAAGTGCACCGACCGTTAAATATATCGCGGGGTGACCGGCCGGTGGCACCTTTCGCTAGCGGTAAGGAGAGACAAGGATTAATCGAATTTGGGCCAATCACCACGTGATGGGTTGTGATTTGCTTGGTATTCAGGTAGAGAAGAACAAGATGTACGCACGCACCCCTGAACCACCTCTCTTTTATGAGCATTTTTTTTTAAAGTACTTCATTGATGCCATATCCATCCGTTATGGGGACGAAGACATGGCAGTACTATTTAGAAATGACGGTATTTTATTCTTGGGCGTCGTTGTGGTTGTGATTGACAGTCGCCACTTATGATACCGCCCGAACTAAAAGTTCATCCTCAACATTGTGTCAACCACAAGAAGAACTGAGCAACGCCGTTTGCGAAGAGACCACCTAAGAAACCCATACAAAAACCGTAGACATACAGGTACTTTCTGACGCTATGAATCCATTGCTAATCTGTCTCAGACTCTTTTCTATGATAGAGATGGTTTCGTTGTGTCATATTAAGAAAAAAAAAAAAAACTACCCACGGTACTCCGTACAGTCGGCCACACAATCGTATTTAGTACCCCGCAAGAAGAGTACAACTGTCTGTATGCACATTTACTTTCTTCCCAGGACTAATTTTATCGTGCGCTATTGTTGCGTACAGAGAGAATGGGCAACTGGAGGAGAAGCACGGGCGGTGGGCATTCATTTGAGAGAGCACGGTCGCCTTCATGTACTTACATGTGTTCGTCTCTACTGCAGAGAGAGACGTTTTGAAAATTCCATTGAATAAAATACTGCACGTTGGGAATTAACTGCTGTTCGGAGCACGATAATACTGTAGTTTACAACAATGTAGCCCAGAGCTCTCTCTGTCTCGGTCTCTGTCTCTGTCTCTCTCTCTTTCTCCCACTCGGGTATAGGCGGGGAGTCCTCCATGTAGGGCACCATGCGGTGATGACGCAACTACGGAACTTTCGTGGCAACCAATGCACATGCATTGCGCGATGTCAGAGATGACGTGATATATGTTCTTTTTTGCATGCCGGACACGTGTACCACGTAAACCAACCAGCCCATCCAACATTGTAAATGGTGCTCTCTCCTCTCTTCCTCTCTCCTCTCTCACGATACACGCAGCAAAGGGAGAGCGAACTGCACATGTAGCTATGCATACGGTACGCATACTCGTGCCTCCGCATGCATACATGCATACTACATGCATGCGTATGGTCGCACGGAGGCACACGTTGGACTACAAGCAGAAGAAAAGACAGCTGGTAAAATCAGCGAATGTGCCCTGTCAAGCGCAACTTCAAGCTTGCAGCAGGCTGCTCGTCGACGCGGCTACCTCCAAATCAGCACGGGTCATTTTTTGACCACGTCTTGCCTTCCCACACACGCCAGCAGCTAGTCGCATGCGAGCCAAACCCATACACTCGCCAACACCAGAGGGAAGCCATAGGACTACACAACGATGAGGAGCCCAGGAGTCACGCCGGTGCTGTTTGGTAAGCTAGCTCTCTCCTCCCGGTCCGTCTGCTTTAGGTTGTAGACATCCGAGATAGGAGACGTGGATGAATTTCGCCGCCGTTGCCGCCATTACGTCCTTGGCTGCTCCCCCCCCCCCCCTGTTCCCCCCGCCCGCCCTAGCGCGCTGCCCACCACCGCCATGCGCACGGGTCTTGGTCAGATGTAAAGTTCATGCTGAAAACGGGAGTCAAGGTTGACCACAGCAGTCGTCCGTTTGATCGATGATGCATGATTTGATTTCTTGTGTGGTGGATCTTTGTTCGATGAGAGAGAGAGCGGACTGGCTGGATATTTTAGTCATACAGCACCATCGCCGATCGCCCCCCCCCGACCCCAACTCCTCTCGATCCAGGCGCCTGCCTAGCGTCCGCAGGGGTGCGAGAGTGCTCCTGCTTCACGGCGAGCCTCCGCGTGAGCACGGGACGGCCAGCAGCAGCGGCAGCACCAGCATCTCTCTGGCGGTCTAACAAGATAAATAGCACGAAGAACAGCAGCGGTAGGCCGGCTCGATTCTCAGCGGCAAGAACGGCGACGGCGAGAGGCCGGCCGTCCTCCGCCGCATCCTCCCCGACCGCGGCAGCCGCAGCGCTAGGTGACTGTAGCGGCGATGTCAGCAGCAGCAGCAGCAGCAGCCAGGGGAAGCCATCCTCCTTCAAGGGCAATGAGTCCACCACGCGACGCCGCCGGAGCCGGCGCCAGAGGCGACCAACACTTCTCGCAGGCGGCAGGGGGAGCCCAACCACTGCCGAGCAACAGCAGCCGCAGCCGCCACAGGTTGATGCGGAGGGGTCGATGACGACCAGCCAGCAGCTCAGCGCGGAGGTCTCGGCGCGCAGGAGCAGGTCGCGGGCGTGGGGGCTGGTCGGTTTCCCGCCGGGAGGCTACTACGACGGTGACTCCGAGGGGCTGACCTCCTCCTCCTCCTACCCCTTGATTGGAGAGGACAGCGCCGCCGGCGCCGCCGTGGCGGATGCGACGGACAGCGCCCTGAGAGGTCGGTACCGTGAGGAGCACCGGGACTGGCAGGAGAAGCTCGAGCGCCTCGTGGACATGTCGGAGCCGCCGCCGGAGCTGCTGGCGGCGGCGCAGACAAGGTCCATCGGCGACATGATGCCGCCCCCCCCCGCCACCAAGTCCCTGGAGGAGGAGGGGCAACAACAACCACCACAACAAAAACAACAAGGAGGAGGAGCAGAAGACGGCTTGTGGACGTCGAGGGCGATGCTGGCAGGGGCGGCCATGCTCTACGGAACCAACTTCGGCTGCGTGAAGCTGCTCGAGGAGTCGGTGCCCATGTCCCTGGCGGCGGCGCTAAGGTTCTCGGTTGCGCTGGTGCCGTTCGTGCCGTTCCTCAAGAAGGTCAACCCGGGGGTGTTCCGGGCGGGTGCGGAGGTGAGAGAGAGAGAGAGAAAACGGATGCGAGCCTCGTCACCGGTTATATAGTCTACGTCGCCTAAGATGTGTGTTCTTGTTGATGTGTGCCCCCCCATTGGGCAGCAAACCACCGAACGCCGAAATCATGCCGCCGTCGATTGGTACACGCCAACCTGCTTGTCTAGAAAGTGTACTCTTCTGTTGTGTGGGTATTCTTGGTCCAATGGCGTTATATACAACAGCAGCGCGCAACCCGCGGGGAAGTACGCTGCCGAGGGTGTGTGGATGTTATTCCAGGTCTGAGTTTGTTTCTCCGGAGAGGGTGGGTGATTCGTGATTCGCGGTCGAACTGCGGGCTGTTGATAGCCGTAGCACAGACAAGGAGCAGCTGTTTGGCGGGACAAACATGCAGACCAGCAATATTTTCGATTTTGAATTCAAACTCGAACGAAATTATTGCTGTTGTCCAGTATTGGAACATATGCACCTCATGAGCGGCTTCCCACCCCGCCCCTACTACCCCGCCCGCCTTCCCCCAGCTTCATCACACCCGACATCCTATATTTTTCAACGTTGACATGTTTGGGCTTGCTTGCCTTTTGACTCGTGGCAGCTGCGGGATTTTGGGTTTTCTCTGCCCCTCCCACATTTTGGAGAGGAAGAGAACGAATTGGTGGGTGTGTTTGTATGCGGGGCAAAATACCAAGAACCCGTTCCTAAGACAAACTACCCCCCGCCCCCGCCTTTCCGGTATCAGGTCGGCCTTCTGAACGCGATCGGGTACTGGGCGCAGTCAGAGTCGCTCATGACAACCACGGCCTCCAAGTCGGCCTTCATCTGCAGCCTCGCGGTCGTCTTCGTGCCGCTTCTGGACGCCCTGCTAGGCGGGGACAAGAAGGACAGCCCCAAAGCCGCCCAAGAGAAGGCCGCCGCCGGAGGCGGAGGCGGCGGGGTGTTTGCGGCGATGAACGGGCCGTGGTTTCCCGCCCTCCTGGCGGCGGCAGGGGTTGCCTGCCTGGAGCTGATCGGGGTGGAGGGGGGACCCAACTCGGGGGACGTCTGGGCGCTGGTGCAGCCGCTGTGGTGAGTGAGCTTGGCTGATACTGCATTTAGTCTTGGCGGGGGGGGGGGGGGGGGGGAACTCCCATGTTTAGGGGCCAAACCGGGGGGACCCCCCGCCCCCAAAAGGAAGGAGGATCATGGGGGGGGGGGGGGGGGGTTGGAAAGGCAAGGCAATAAAAGTCGGGGGTTCCGGGGGGAAATTTTGGGAGGGACGAGGGGGGGCCCCGCCCCCCGAAACCCCCCGTCCCCCTTTGAAAAAAAAGGTTTGGGGGGGGGTAAGGCCCCAAAATAGGAATT